ATTTGTGGCCTGTACTGGATATGAACTGAGCGTATGTCTGTTTTTAGGTGTCTTTAAGCCAATGTGGAGTCTGATCTTTCAAAAAAAGTTTTTTTGTTTTTTGGTTTTTTTTCTTTTCTTTTGGACTCTGTGTGCTGCCTTAGGGTTAGGAATGTGGTGCTCTTGTTGGGGGAAGTGAGCTCCAAGAGTAGCTTTTTTTCATCTTTTAGTGATTTTCTGTTTATCGGTTGAATGCCACAGATTCCCTTTTAAACTTATTTTGCTTTAAAAAAAAGAAAAAGAAAAAGAAAATTTAACTTAAAATATTTTAGCATTAGTTGCACAAAATGTTTGGATAAAATTCTAGTTTTTATAAGTCTTTTTATATATTTAGCCTGTCACAACAGTGCTCAAGATTGTATTGAAGTTTTTCTGCATTATACAACCCTAAAACACAGAGATCTCACTGACCCGCTGCCCTGTAACCACTTTCTTTTCCTTCTTTTGCCTAATACAGCTCAGCTAAGTCCTTCCATAAAGATGCTAAATAACTTTCATCATCACATAAATGTCTTCATAAACCAAGGACTATTAAGTGTATTAAAATGAAACAGTGGAGTTTAGTACTCCAAATGAACTCTTAAAGAAAAAAAAACTAATCTTGGCATCCTATCACTATGTGATATTTTGTACATCTTACTGTATTTACAAGTTTATTTATCAAGGATTATCCATCTTGCTAATGGCCTATTATTTATTTCACTTTTTGTTGGTCTTTATATCCTTTTATTAATGTGCTAAAGGAACCTGTATATCTATTTTGGAAATCTTTGAATAGTCTAAAATAGACTAAAAATGGAATATTTTATAGTTTAAATTACAAACCAAGATGGTTCCCCCTAAGATATGTATCTTGGTTTACCATGATTCCAAACAAAACTAACTTGTTTTAAAATATTTGGAGTAAAATTTTATTTGCATTACAAATAGGATACAAAAATAGTTGAATCAGGATACAGAAATCTGCTGTGTTTTGACTAGTTATCCCTGTTTTATTTTTTTAGATGTGCTTAATTTTATGGTGTAACTAAAGATTTTGTTTGTGTAATGCATGATTGAGACAATAAAGTATTTTTTCTAGTCTTCCAAGAAACTTTTCTGATCAGTTTGCGAGTTTTGATGAGTTTTGTAAGGTTTTTGTTTTACAAACTATGAATCAGCAAATTTTTAAGATTGTACCACATAGCAAACATACAGCTGTTGAAAAATAATGTATATAAAATGCATATAATAAATATTAAATTGTGTACCTGTATGTTACTGTTGGCTACATCATTTTGTGTTGAATAATAAAGTGCAATACTTTACTCTCCGTAATTAAACTAGGAAATGGAGATTTCTTAGTGAGTCCTTCATTTTTATGCTGTTCTTTCAAACTTTGTACTACTTACTGATATTCTAATAAGAGTAGATCACTAACACTATTAATAATGTCTAAGTATTTCACCCCACTTGAGGATTTAAAAAAATCTTCCATTAAATTATGCAATGCAAAATAACCCCAAAAAATGCACAGATGCAGTTATAAATAATTTGCTTAGACAACCTGTTTCCATCTGAATTTCAGTTAATGGCAGTGTTGTTCCTATTTGCTATACCTGTTTCTACAAAAAAATTCAGCAAGAAATAAACTACACTGAATATTTAGCTTCGTTGGTGCAAAAGTAATTGCGGTTTTTGCCATTTCTGGCAAAAAAAAAAAAAAACTGTTAAAGGTCTTACAAATAATGTTAAACATTAATATTTTGAAACATGTCTTCAATAAGGTAATATCCTTTGTCTTTGAAGGGAATTGATGATGAAATTACAAGGGAACACTAGAAAACTTACGCGTAAAATTCAGTTTGAATGCTTGCTGCTGTTGCTGGGGGAAAAAAATTACATTGTACATTGAGAAATTTTGTCATCTACCATAAAAATCTAAGTGGCAATTTTAGTCATTGATGAAAAACTAAAACTTTTCAAGGTTTTTTTTTTTTTTTGAGATGGAGTGGAGTTTCACACTTGTTGCCCAGACTGGAGTGCAATGGTGCAATCTCAGCACACTGCAATCTCCGTCTCCCAGGTTCAAGTGATTCTTGTGCCTCAGCCTCCCAAGTAGCTGGGACTACAGGTATGCATCACCACGCCTAGTTAATTTTGTATTTTTAGTAGAGACAGGGTTTTACCATGTTGGTCAGGCTGGTCTCAAAGTCCTGACCTCAGGTAATCCACCCGCCTCGGCCTCCCAAAGTGCTGGGATTACAGGTGTGAGCCACTGCATCCAGCAAATTTTTTTTTTACCATTTTTTTTGTTTCTCTGAACTGAACATTCAACTAAAGAACAAAGTAAAGGGGGTACTTTTCTCCTCTTCTGTTTCTTCTTTTTTGAAATAAAGAATAAGCTTTTCCAAAGCTAGAATTGTTTCTAGCAGCTGTTTCAACCCAGTACATCACCATTGATCTGAAATATAATTATTGGAATGCATAAACATTGATGTATTTTGGAATGTATTAAAACTGAAATGGATAAAAATTAGTATATATATTTTGTTGTTATCTCCTTTGGTTGTATTTTTCTCTGCAGTATTTAGTCTCTTTGGAAGAGACTAAAGGTATGCACAAATAATGTCTTATTTTCATTATGTGTGCTTCCATTTGACACATGGGAAATTGATTTCACTATTAAATAGTACTTTATACAAATCTTAATATGTTGATTTCTTCCCTCAATAGTTAATCATATTCTGCCTCTCATATTTCATGTTGTTTTTCTCATTATTTCAAACTAGGTAACATCCGTTGAAGACTAACATTGCATTTAATGCATTAAGTTATAAATGGGCTAGCATATTTGAAATCTAAGCATGTTTGCTTAAGTTGGATTGTAATACATCTTTCCTTTTTACTCTCTGTCCCCTGTAAATAACCTTTATCCTGATTATGTTTACTTATAAAATTATTGATAGTAACCTATGGTTCTGATTTCTGCTCTCTTGCTGCTATTCCCTGGTTACTTCAGGTGACTCAAAACTTGGTCCTTTATAAAATTAAAGAAAAAAGCACTTTCTTAAAAGGGCTAATGAGTGGTAGCTGGGTTTTCATTAAAGCTTAATTTTCCAAGGGGTTGTACTCCTAGCTGAGAGTTTTCAGTTTACTTACTGGGGAAAAAGTCATATTATGCTAAACCCAGTTTTTATGATGTTTAATTAAAATTATCCTTGTTACATGATTCAGTCATGTTTGAAGCATTTTATAAAGGGGGAGGTTGTCTTCTGAAACTCCATTTTCGATTTCAAATTTTTATGTAGTGAAAAAGGCAATTCCAGTTCAGTTTTTCCCTGTGTGTACTCCTTTTATTCCTCTTATGCAGGGTATAAAACTGTAAGACTCAAAAGATTTACTGGAGTATATTATTCTGACTGTTTAACACCTTTTTCAGGGGGCTTAGGTGGATGAGAGGAGGAGATAGGACCCGTATTTAGAAAAGACAGGCAAGATGGGATGATAGAGCACCTCTTTCTTTTGGGAGAGGCCTTGGTGAGCTAATCATCTAAGTCATATTAAGGGAGTCCTAATGTTCTCCTTTCATAGGGACCAACTTCACAAGCATTTTTAAGTAAAAATGATGTCAATTACAAAACATTTCTGGTGAAGCAAGTACTCAAAAATATCTTATACTGTTTAACCAGGTAGTCACTGTGTATAATGTCTAGAACAGTAGGTATTCAATAAACTTGTGTCTTTTGTTTTTTTGTTTTGGAGATAGGGTCTTGCTCTGTCACTCAAGCTGGAGTGCAGTGGTGTGATCATGGCTCACTGTAGCATTGACCTCAGCTCAAGCAGTCCTCCCACCTCAGCCTCCCGAGTAGCTCGGACTACAGGCATGCACCATCCCACCCAGCTAATTTTTTTTTTTCTTTTTTGTAGAGTCAGAGTTCTCACTGTTGCCCAGGCTGGTCTTGAATTCCTGGCCTCAAGCAGTCCTCCCGCTTCAGCCTCCCAAAGTGCTGGGATTACAGGCATGAGCCACTGTGCTTGGCCTCAATAAATAATTGAATCAAAAAATATTCTTGGTATTAATACATGATTTTAAAAAATAATTCAGATTGGTCTTTCCACATGAATTTTTACCATATCCTCAGGGGAAACACTTGCAGTAATAAAAGTAAGCCAGCTTACAATCACTCACTAGCAGTTTTATTGCTTAAGTATTCCAATTACATTATTTTTTCCTGCAGTTACTTGAAATGTCTTTAAATGTTTATAAGCAGTCAGTAAATACTTTACCAACTTTTAAGTACTTGGGTGACTCAGAATATAAGCCAAATATATCTATATACATATAAAATTAAGGAGAGAAATAGAAAAATACCTGGCAATCCTGCTCTCTTATTCAGTGTGATATTTTTAGTCATAAGTTGTTATGAAAACACACTACAAAAGCAGTTTGATACAGGACTCCTTTCTATACCCAGATTTTATAGTCTGCAGTAATAGCTAGCTATTGTTGATTGATTTTAAGAAAATATCCACTTGGGTCAAAATATGTATACCTGAACCATGTTAAAGAGCTGTGTTCCATTTAAGTTTCTCTTTTCATTTTGCTTATATAATCAATACGGAATGGTTAGAGAAGGAATGTTGCTTTTGGTCTAAGTGTCAGATTCTTTTATTGAGCTATGGAATGTGCATATCTGTACATTTAGTAGGCATGGTTAGAACTCAAGGTTTTAATCCACATTATCTCCTCTTTCCTGAGTTTCTAAGGGCCATGATTATGAAGCCTCAGCAGTGTTTTTAACAAAGTACACTGTAAATTGTAACCAAAAGGCAGTGGCTTTAAAGGAGTGCTTATTTGCCTAAATGGCTGTTGACATATTTAATATAATAGTTTTGTATCTGATTCTAGTATGCTAAAGCATTTCAGTATTATGAGAATACAATTTATACACTGGATCCCCTTGTACTTTTTCTTTCAGTTGTCAAAATGTTACCATTATTGCTGGGATTCTAAGAAATCTCTACAAATGCCTCTGATGACATCAGAAACAATCGGTTCTAATCCTGTGAACTCTCTTGTGAAGAAAGCATGAGACTCCTTCGGTTTAGAAGCCATATCTTTCAGGTCATCCAGAGGTGCCCAAGCCACACCAACAGAGAAGATAGTGATTCCTACAATGGAAACATTTTAAAGTGAATTAAAAACCAGGTCTATCTAATATATGGAATTATGTCTATATGTTTTCCATACACTGTTACATAGTTGCAGCAAAAACTGCTTACTAATTTCTGGACAATTAAATCCCCCGAACAAATTTAAGTTTTCACAGTCGTTGTGACAAGAGTGGCAAAAGAGTGGTCCAAACCAGAAACTCTGCTATATCTGTAACTCACCACATGAACAGGTAAGTCATGATCACTGATAAGAAATATTTGATAAAGTTCAACATCCATTAATGACGGAACACATCTAGTAAACTAGGAATAGAAGAAAACTTTTAACCTGATCCACAGTATCTTTTTTAAAATCCTACAGTAAATGCAGATGGTGAAAATTTTCCATACAAGGTTGGCCTGCATCAAACAGTATACTGGAGTCAGTCACAGTCCATTAAAGCAAGGAAGAAAGGCACCAGAGATGGGATAAGTAAAAGGTAAAAATGTTCAAAGGTTGTTTGAGGAATGGTGACTAGTCCTCTGATAATGACAAACCCTCTTCCACTTCAATCTTTAATACTGGCAAACTAAAATCAGAAAATGTCAGCCTATAATCCCAAAGCAAAACTAGTGATTAAAAAGTACTGCCCAAGTGGGGTCTGTATGAAACTGGAGTAATTTCTTCCAGTTCCATTGAGGTATTCTATTTCCATTCACTTGAGTTACTAGAAGGCTTTTAGTACAACTGTACATTTAGATAGGGTGATAATACATTGGTTGGATTCACCCCAATCTGAATTGTAGAAGTTTTCATTTAATCTTTTTTTTTTTTTGAGACAGAGTCTGGCTCTTTCGCCCATGCTGGAGTGCAGTGGTACAATCAAGGCTCACTGCAGCCTCAACTTCCTGGGCTCAAATGATCCTCCTCAGCAACCCCATCCTCGAGTAGCTGGGACTGCAGGTGTATGCCACCAAGCCCAGCTAATTTTTTAATTTTTTTGTAGAGATGGTGTTTCACCATGTTGTTCAGGCTGGTCTTATCTCAAACTCCAGGGCTCAAGCGATCCATCTGCCTTGGCCTCCCAAAGTGCTGGGATTACAGGCGTGAGCCACCACACCGGGCCTCATTTAGCAGATTCTTAGTGTAGAGTACCATCTATCTAATGCTGGGTGCAATTTTCTATAGCTTTTGGAGTTTCTGTAATAGATTTCCTCTACGGATCTAAAGCTTCATCCCCCTTCTAGTGGTACACAGTGCTCAGAGTGGTAAACACCTAAGATACACAGCAGGTTTACATGATGTAAAAGCTACTTGGAACAATTTTCAATTGTTCCAGTCTCCTTTTCCTGACTCCTACTCCCTGGCAAAAAAAAAAAAGTCAAAATATTTTTTTCCTCCCCCTCAGTTTTCCTCACTTCTTTTCAGTTCTACATTCTAGTTCAGATTTTTTAGCTCAAGCCCAGCATATAATTACAGTTTTAAAAAATAAAACAATCACACCACTGTACTCCAGGCTGGGCGACAGAGCAAGACCCTGAAAATAAAAACAGTTGTGATCTAGCCCTGAAATCCTACCCTATTTTCTGGCCTTTGCAACTTTCAATATCACTAAGGGATAATTTTCATGAATCAATTTTGGTGTAGTCCAGCCTTCTGAAGTTTAATGAACCTAATCACTTTATAGCCTGAATACAATCCTGTTATCTATAAGTTCAGTAAGCTAAGTATTAAGGAACATGAGAGTAAACAGGTCTTTACTTCACAGATTAGTTGCTGATGTATAAAAAATACTTTTTATGCCGGGCGCGGTGGCTCATGCCTATAATCCCAGCACTTTGGAAGGCCGAGGCGGGCAGATCATGAGGTCAGGGGATCAAGACCATCCTGGCTAACACGGTGAAACCCCGTCTCTACTAAAAATACAAAAAAACACTAGCCGGGCGTGGTGGTGTGTGCCTGTAGTCCCAGCTACTCGGAGGCTGAGGCAGGAGAATGGTGTGAACCCAGGAGACGGAGCTTGCAGTGAGCCGAGATTGCGCCACTGCACTCCAGCCTGGGTGACAAAGCGAGACTTCATCTCAAAAAAAAAAAAAAACACTTTATAAGCTAGATGTGGAACTTAAGTTGCATATCTTCTCTGTCTTAAGAATAATCTTTCATCAGTATCTGTAAAAATAGGTAAATACATTGGCAGGGGTACTAATGTGTAGAAAGGAAAAAGGTTATGTTATTAGGAATTAAGTAGGGAAAAGGAGGTACAGAAGAGTATAAAAACAGCAAGTCCATTGATTCTTCCCTCCTGTCACTCAGTTATATCCTCAGAAAGGGAATCTTAGGTTTTTGTTGGTCTATTTGATCTCCAACACATTATGTTAATGTCCAGGAACGAGGCCTGTGCCAAAAGTAATATTAAGGCTGGGGTGAGGAAGAAAGAAAAAGAAACACTTCTTATACCCTTTTATAACACCAGAGTATGTTTTTATTATCTTAAGGGGGAGAAAAAAAGGAAGGTTTTTTTTTTTCTTTTTGAGACAAAGTCTCCCTCTGTCACCCAGGCTGGAGTGCCATGGCACGATTTCAGCTCACTGCAACCTCAGCCTTCTGGGTTCAAGTGACTCTCGTGCCTCAGCTTCCTGAGTGGCTGGGATTACAGGTGTATGTTACCACACCCGGCTAATTTTTGTATTTTTAGTAGAGATTGGTTTTTACCATGTTGGCCCAGCTGGTCTTGAACTCCTGACCTCAGGTGATCTGCCCACCTCAGCCTCCCAAAGTGCTGGAATTATAGGTGTGAGCCACTGCATGTGGCCAAGGGGGATAGGTAAAGACTATGGGAGACCTTATCTCAGGAAACTCATGCCAGACAAAACTTGACTAAAATAAAAGTTAGGGTTCGGTGCGGTGGCTTATGCCTGTAATCGCAGCACTTTGAGAGGCCGAGGTATGAGGAATGCTTGAGCCCAGGAGTTTGAGACCAGCCTGGGCAACAAAGTGAGACCCCTGTCTCTACAAAAAAAATATTTAAAAATTAGCCAGGCGCAGTGGCATATGCCTGTCGTCCTAGCTACGTGGAAGGCTGACACAGGAGGATTGCTTGAGCCCAATAGTTGGAGGTTGTAGTGAGCTCTGATCATGCCACTGCACTCCAACCTGGTGACAGAGCAACAACCTGTTTCATACACAAGAAAGTTAGGATAAATTACTGAATGGCAGATTCATGGTAGGTTATAAGCTGGCTATTTGGAGATATAGTCCAAGTTTGAGCTAAATGTGAGCACCAGTAACATTTCCTTAATGTGACATGGTTCTCATGACAATTCTCCCAACAATACAGTGGTTAGGAATGTGGACTCTGGAGCCAGAATGCCTGGGTTTGGATCTTGGCCTTGCCACTTACTAGATGTGTCATTTCCAGGAAGTTTGTTTCCTTATCTGTAGAATGAGATTAGTAGGGCTGCTTTGACAGTTACTATTGGGTAAAGCTGCAGGTGTTTGTTCAATGAAATGCTTAAATTTTTATTTACTCCTAAAATTCACTGAACCGTTTTTTTCTGTTCCCTTCTCCTATAAAGAACAAGGACCTTACCTGCATCATGTGCAGCAGCTGCAGGGCCTTGGACATCATCATAGGACTGCCCATCTGTGACAATTACTAGGAAGTTCTTGTTGGGGCTCTCCCTTATAGGGCCAAACACATTTCTAACAGTAAAGGAAATGGCATCACCAGTAGCTGTTCCACCACTCATATAGCGGATGTTTCTGATAACAGCTAGGACATCCTCTTTGGTGCTATAGTCAGTGAAACTGAACTCCGTGCGCTGATCATAAGTAAACTGTACAGCAGCTATCTTGGCACCAATGTCCGAGATTTCAAAAGTCTTGGCTATGTTGGAAACAAATTCAAGCATGAGGCGGAAATTGCTATCTCCAACACTGCTGGAGCCATCAATTAGAAAGGCAATGTTCACTGAGTTATAACAGGTCTTGCTGCACATCATTTGTTCATGAGTGCACAGCTTCTGTACCAGAGGCTTTACGTATTTTGTGGTGCCAAACCAGTTGGGCATGTGGTAAGAGAAGAAGCCATTATTCCGACAGACAGCCTAATGGGGGAGACACATAAAAGATATCCAAAAGGATCAAAAGTTGTTTCTTCTTAAAACCTGTGGAAAATCCTGAATGTTACAAGTTAATCTAGATAACAGGCAGTCAGCACTGCACTTAGAGGTCCAAAATGGAATACCTATCACTGTAACAGAAGATGACCCTCACCACTTTACCTTGTCAACAAATGTAACATCCTGAACCATCCCCAGTTCTTCAGGAATAGGCTTGGCCACAGAAACTATAAATACATTGACACCAAACTCTCTGGCCACAATGCCTGCTTCCTCGATGTCATCAGAAGGCCAACCATCAATAAATACCACCACCACTTTGGGGATCCCTTTTCTTACTCCAGCATCTACTGTGAAGAATTTCTGAGCAGTATGCTTCAAGGCTTTTCCTAAATTTGAAAAAGAAGCAAACAAGTAGCATTTACCACTGCTCAAACCACATTTCCGTTTCCCTGTAGCATTTGATGCTGCAAAGTTTAAGAATTATATATAGAACTGGCAGTGGGGCGGGGCACACACAAAAAAGAATTATATAGAACCCAGTTCTGTAACAGATGCATCAGCTGGGAAAGTTTAATTATCTACCAGGCCTATTTTTTTCTCTTCACAAACCATATTAGTTCCCCCTCCACCTCCTAGAAGCCTCACATTTGCTTATCCCACATCAGTTGCCAGTTAGAAACACAAAACTGATTCCCACTTCTGTGCATGTGCTCTCTATGTAGACCTTTGGTGAGTGATTAGTGCCTCTAAGAAGTCTCTCTTCAGAGTCAACAGTAGTGCTAGTCTCATTCTTTCTGCCATGTCTGCATTCATTAGATAAGTCTATTGATCTTCACTTCTTTTTAGCAGTAAAAGATATACTTCTCCAATGTTATATATCTAGTCAATCCAACATATGAGAATTCTAAATCACCATGCTTTATATTTTTAAAAATAAGAAACATCAACACACTTTAGTATACTTCCCTTATAAATTGAAAATTTATCTCAGATGATCAAATGCAGACCTAGCCAAGATTTCAGTTCCAGGAGGATTTCACATCTGCTCATATAAAATAGCATAATACTGTTTTACATGTCTGATCACTGATAACCCTCTCCTATATTACTTCCCAGGTATTGAAGTCTACTTACCTGTATTGGAATTACCCCCTCTGAAACCTACTTCCTTTATGGCAAACAAAACATCTTTGGCTGATGTAAAGTTTTTCAAGTAAAATTCTATTTTGGGATGTTCACTAAGTGGAAGAAAGAAAATGTTACTCAGGGAGAATTAAAAAGGTAAAATAAGCAACATTACATGCCTTAAAAAACAGTTTTAAAACCAGACAACACACAAGTTTCTTTCTTAATTCCACAGTACAGTCAACTAAGGCATTGCATCCTTACTTGAATTATTGGGGATATTTCAGAGGTGTAACAAAGAATTGCCATATTGAGGATTTATTATATTCTGGATAATAAGTCAAAAGCATAACACATGTATAACCTCATTCCATCATAGCTCTACAAGGTTGGAATTATCCCAATTATGTAAATGAAGAAACTGAGGCTCAGAGCATTTAGGGAGTTTGCCTGATGAAACACAGCTGCATTTTAAGTTCAGGTTGTCTGGCTCCAAAGTCCACGCCTAAACTATACGAAGAACTTGAAATCAGGTTTGGCTCAGAGCCTTGGGTTTAACAGAAGTCCACAGAATTGGGCACTAGGTAGCTAAACTAAATTAGGAAGTGGCTGGGTGTGAAACTAGGGTCTGTTCCATCGTGGGACCCAGAGGCTCTAAGTAGTGTGGATCTGTTAACCCAGGTCTCTCTGTTCAGGAGAAACAATTTCACTGATGTGATGGTCAACATTTTTTTAAAGGGAAAAAGGTGAAATGAATTATAAAGTTACAATATTGAGTTTTTCTTATGATGACAGTGACATTTGTGGACCTTAAAATTATGTGTATTATAAGAGTTTTGCGATCTCATTTCCTATATTTAATATTAAAGGAATTTCAGCTTTTATATAACTACTCTGTGTTCATCAGAGACTGTATTGAGTATAAACAACCAAAGCACAATCTGCTGTGTTTAGATTCCAGATGAGTCAGTATTTCATAGTGCAAAATTTTAAGATCTTAGCATTATCAGTAGCTATTTTATTCAAGATTTTTTCAGAGAGAAGTATAACACTGACTGCATTTCTGCACACATACATGATGGAATATTGGGTCATAAAATCAGATTCCATGGGTTGAAAACCTTTTCACTTGTGGTCACTTTTCAACTATCCAGATTATGACTTAGGAAATTAGTCTCGTTTTTGTATCCTTAATGATATGTTCTGTCCTTTGACTTACATATAAACTTGACAGGGTTTATCTATTCTAATGGTCTTTCTGAAACAGAAAAACTGCAAACAAGGAAGTTACAAGAAGCTAGTCTTTGTATGAGTCTACAAGGTAATGAAGCACTGATCTTCAAAAAGAATTGGGTCAAAATAGTCAGAAAAAAGTATCAGACAAAAAGTATTGCAGGGGAATTTGCCTCATGGGATGTTAAAATGTGCAAGAAAACTATGATAATTAAAGAAGTGTAGAAAAAATATGTAAAGATTAGCATATGAATCAAAGAAATAGACTTGCTCAAACTCAGGTATAAATATGATACTATAAGTCAATGAAACAAGGAACCCATTTTTTTTAAGGGTGAGAGACAAATGGTTAAATTATGTAAAAAGAGTTAAATTTTCTTCTCACGCCAAAAAAATTCTATCTAAACTAAGAGCAGAGCCACTTGTAAAAAATAACATAGATGAAATGCAAATTAATATTTGTAATAGCATTGTTTATACATCCTTATACACTGCTGATAGTAGTTTAAACTAGTTCACCTTTCTAGGAAGCAATTTTGCTATTTATTTATTTGTTTTTTTAGAGATGGGGTCTTGCTCTGTTGTCCAGGCTGGAGTGTAGTGGTGCCATCATAGCTCTCTGCAGCCTTGAACTCCTGGGCTTGAGATCCTCACACCTCAGCCTCCTGAGCAGCTGGCACTACAAGCATGAGCCACTGTCCATGGCTCAATTTCACTATTTATATCAGAGGCTTTAAGTCAGAACCTCACTTGTAGAAATCTAATGTGATAAAATAATCAGAGATGGGCACAAAGATAATATAAGGATGTTCATCACAGTGTAGTGTGTAATGTAGTGAAAAAACAATAAAAGAATGGCTAAATAATTATGCAGAGGAATATTATGAAATATTTTTGATGAATATTTGTGATATGAGAAAATGCTCAAAATACTAAAGGATGAAAAAAACAGGATGCAAGGCATTTTTTATAGTCTGAGCTTTTAAAAAATAATACAGTCAAATATTTCCTTAAAATACTGAAGGGGCCAGGCGTGGTGGCTCACACCTGTAATCCTAGTACTTTGGGAGGCTGAGGCAGGTGGATCACCTGAGGTTAGGAGTTCGAGACCAGCCTAGCCAACATGGTGAAACCTTGTCTCTACTAAAAATACAAAAATAGCCAGGCATGGTAGTGCACACCTGTAATCCCAGCTACTCAGGAGGCTGAGGCAGGAGAATCGCTTGAACCTGGGAGGTGGAGGTTGTAGTGAGCAGAGATCGCACCAATGCATTCCAGCCTCATTGACAGAGCAAAACTCCATCTAAAAAAAAAAAAAAAAAAAAAGTACTGAAGGGAAATAAAACATTTTATAGTAATTATCTCTAGGGCATATGATTTAGGGAATTTCTTTTTCTGTGCTTTATGTATTTTCAAGCTTTCTACAATAAGCATATTCGATATTCTAAAAGCTAAATATATATTTTTTGTTTGTTTGAAACAGAGTCTTGCTCTGTCACCCAGGCTGGAGTGCAGTGGCATGATCTCGGCTCACTGCAAGCCCCACTTCCCAGGTTCATGCCATTCTCCTGCCTCAGCCTCCCAAGTAGCTGGGACTACAGGCGCCCACCAGTACTCCTGGCTAATTTTTTATGTATTTTTAGTAGAGAAGGGGTTTCACCATGTTAGCCAGGATGGTCTCGATCTCCTGACCTCATGATCTGCCTGCCTCGGCTTCCCAAAGTGCTGGGATTACAGGCGTGAGCCACTGTGCCTGGCCAGCAATTAATAAAATTTTTAAATGAATAAAATAGAAAGTTCATGCTTCAGCTCACCAACCAAGAGAATATGGAAAGAGCTAAAAAGCATAACAGAATAGGGAGGTGGAATAGACATATCACTGCTTCTTCCTTCAGAAAAGAGAAATTAGGAATTGAGCAGAGTAGATAAGCAGGGGTGACTTGTGTAAGCAACAGGACTCTCCAATCTACCTTCTTGTTCTTATATAGATAGCACACAGTTTTCTAAATTCTTTTATTCCAAAAAGAAGGCACTCAGAACTACTCAGTCTGCCCAGGCAGTCTCAGATCCTGAACTTACAGTTTAGGAATCCAGTGTTTCCATAACTCAAAATGTTTATACTGAACTGACATGTACCCACTAAAAGGATTGATCATTTGTCATCATTCAAGACATCATAGAAATCGCCTCTCATTTTATTTATTTATTTATTTTTGAGACATAGTCTCTCTGTTGCCCAGGTTGGAGTGCAGTGGTGCAATCTTAGCTCACTGCAACCTCTGCCTCCTGAGTTCAAGTGATTCTCCTGCCTCAGCCTCCCAAGTAGCTAGGATTACAGGCGCATGCCACCACATCTGGGTAATTTTTGTATTTTTAGTAGAGACTGGGTTTCATATGTTGGCCAGGCTGGTTTCAAACTCCTGACTTCAGGTGATCCACACACCCACCTTGGCCCTCAAAGTGCTGAGATTACAGGCATGAGCCACTGCGCCCAGCCTCATTTGATTTTGAATGTATCCAACACAAAGAAGTGATCAATGTTTGAGGTGATGGATATGCTAATTGCTCTGATTTGATCACTATACACTGTATGTATGAAACCATTACTATGTACCCCATAAGTATATATAATTATTATGTGTCAATTACAAAATAAATACATAATTTTAAAAAAATCTCCCATTTTAACAAGGTTGGTACCTGGCTTGAACAAGACCCACATGTGGTCCTTCTGTTCCAATTCCCAACATTAGAGCCACTTTTCCAACAAAATTCTTCTGTAAATTAAATCGGCGCTGCCCAATATTAAAGCTTCCATCAATCAGAAATGCAATGTCTGCTTTACAATCTGCGAACAACCAAACCAGTCCCCTCGTTAGCAGTCTCAGGAGGAGGGAGGGAAAATGCTGCCTTCCCAAATGGAGATTTTGATTCTTACCTTTATTGCCAGTTTTCTTCTCAGGTGTTTTCTTTAGTCGTTTACCTGAAATAAAAGATGCACTTGGCATTAACAAAAGACAGTTACATAGCAAGAAACCCACATGGGGAGAAGCTCCTAACAACAGAGTGCCATTCTCGAAAGGACTTTTTCAAAAAATTTAACTTCCTCAGGATTTTCTGGACTAGGGAAAGCAATGACTCAACAAATAAACAAATCAGTATGTAGGCCTACATATTTGATATGCCTCTAATCCAGGACTTTGATCCCAAACCCACAGGTGAGGCAGGAACTCAACATTAGATCCTAATGTTCTTAATATCTTTGACTTTAAAACTGCCATAGTCATACAAAAGGGGTTCCCTGGCTATTTCTTTTTTTTTTTTTTTTTTTTTTTTTTTTTTTTTTTTGAGATGGAGTCTTGCTCATCGCCCAGGCTGGAGTGCAATGGCGCGATCTCGGCTCACTGCAAGCTCCGCCTCCCGGGTTCACGCCATTCTCCTGTCTCAGCCTCCTGAGTAGCTGGGACTACAGGCGCCTGCCACCTCGCCCGGCTAATTTTTTGTATTTTTAGCAGAGATGGGGTTTCACCGTGTTGGCCAGGATGGTCTGGATCTCCTGACCTCGTGATCCTCTCGCCTCGGCCTCCCAAAGTGCTGGGATTACAGGCGTGAGCCACCACGCCCGGCCCTATTTCTTATAATAGACACACATTCCTTATTCACATGACAGTGCAGTAATTAAACGAATTTAATGAAGCAAACGGAACTGGAAGTTCATGGTATTTGACCAGTTCTTAGGCGTGGTTTATCAAATCTGGGAGAAAATAGGACTTTAAGAGAATTATTAGGCTGGGTGCAGTGGCTCATGCCTGTAATCCCTGAACTTTGGAAGGCTGAAGTGGGAGGACTGCATGAGGTCAGGAGTTCAAACCAGCCTGGGCATCATAGCTAGTCCTCTGTCTCTACAAAAAAGTAAAAAAATTAGCTGGGTGTGGTGGCAGGTGCCTGTAGTACCACCTACTCAGGAGGCCAGGGTGAGAAGGTTGCTTGAGTCTAGGAGTTTAAGGCTGCAGTGAGCTATGATTGCACCACTGCACTCCAGCCTGAGCAATAGAAGGAGACCCTGTCTTTAAAATATATACATAAAATTGAATGTTTCTATATGTAATATACCAATAAACTTAAGACATTTGCTTTGTTTCTCTTTAATACCAACTTTCTTTAAGCAAAGCTTCTACCAACAACACATTTATTCATAACTTCCAAATGCTGTGCTGGCAACTAGGAGATAGGTTTCATAGTTCATACCTGTTGGTGGATGTGCTGTGGACACAGCTTGTCCTGTGGCCTCCTGTGTACTACTTTTGCCTTCTGTTAAAATAAAAATAAGCTTACTTTTTCCTTTTACTTCTTTACCAAAGTATTATGAATCTAATTTAGGGCTCTCTACGATGACAAATGTAACAGGGTAATGGTGATTGTAGTTACAAACATCCTACTGCATGCTAATTTCAGAGAACCAAAATGCTTATCCATTATATCTTCAAAGGATCATCAAAAATGAATTCAGTAGTTTTTCAGTTCCTTGGTAAGTGTCCGGGCATTCTGACAGCGGATAATTCAAGTTTCTATTGCCATCATCTGCCAGTAAGATTGTCTTCTATTCACCCATATTTGGCTTCAGTGGGTACTTGACCCCTCAGTCTAACCTACAGTTTACCTCTATAGGTCAACTTCAGTCTTGATCACAGGTTTTTCCATCAAGGTTAAAGAGGCTGAGCTAAAAAAAGCAGAAAACTTTTGGGGGGTGGGAGAATATTACAGGATGAGAACAGTAATTATACCTACTAGTTACTGTGAAAGAAGCAGACCATCTAGAAAGCATTTGAGACTGGATGCCATTGGCATCTACTGAGGAATAGTTTTCTCGGCCAGGTAGGCTGTAGACTCGTACAGGTCCCCCTGAGTTGCTGATTACTCCCCTGCAACACAAGAATAGCAGCTGAGATGCTATCCACACTTTTTTCAGGGCATCCCACTGACTTATAGTGCCATGTTGTATCTATTGCTTTGATTAATCAAGAAAATAGCTCATCAGGGAAGTCATCAAAAGATTCTGTTTATTTTGTTTGTTTATTTATTTATTTATTTATTTGATGGAGTCTCGCTCTGTAGCCCAGGCTGGAGTGCAGTGGCGTGATCTCGGTTCACTGCAACCTCCACCTCCCGGGCTGCGATTCTCCTGCCTTAGCCTCCCAAGTAGCTGGGATTTACAGGCGTGCATCACCACGCCTGGCTAATTTTTGTATTTTTAGTAGAGACAGGGTTTCACTATGTTATCTAAGTCTTGAACTCCTGACCTCAAGTGATCTGCCTGCCTCAGCCTCCCAAAGTGGTGGGATTACAGGCATGAGCCACCACTCCCAGCTGCTGCTAGCCTTTTAAAAACTTGCTTACACAAGAGCAAAATTTGCCTGGAAAAAATCGTTTTGTGCTGTCGAACTTCCTAAGTGTTGATAAGAACACATTTGTAATATCCTGTTACCTACAACTTAGAAATTCAGAGCACCAAACAATTTTCCTAAGATACTCTCTTTAACTACATGCCCTTGGACTGACTGTTTTTAGGAGTATTATACTGGCTATTCTACTACAGGATAGCTTGGCACTTGCTAACAATAGTCACCTGGGGCAAGATACTTGACAACTCTCTGAGTTCAGTTTCTTTGTCTCTAACTGGAGTAAAATTCTACCTACCTGGTCAAGTTGTGGTGGAAGTTAAAACAATAGCTGGCACATAGTAATAACTCAGTAACATATCACATGATTAGGAATGTTTTGGAATCACAGCAATCTACCCATCAAGAAGTAATGCAATTTGCCTTTTGTGAGAAAGCTTTCCATGTGTATTTCGTGTTTCAAGTATATCCAGGAGAACCTTGAAAATATATCCATTTTCTGTGGCCACAATGGCACCAAAAGAAAGAATGCAGGGAAGAAAGGGATCCAGATGGCTGAAGCAGGAAAGGAAATAATCATGTTTGCATTTCTCTCCCACCCTGGTGTGTTTGGGCTTACCTGTGGACAGCAGCCCCACATATGCTCGATACAGAAGCATATACTATGTTCCCATACACAGAGAATTCCTCAAGAGGGCAGCCCCCTGGGCAGAGGACATCAGCTTTCTCTTTCCTGATGTCCAAGCCTCTGGTAAAACATGTGATAGCAATGGGAGCTGAAGAGAAAGGAGATAATATTGTAAGCATTCTTAGGACTTCTTGGGGCATAGTGGTGGGGAGACTACCGTGTGAGATTTAAGTTTTACTTCCCTAATTTCTACTCTTCTAGTTATGAATATTGACTTATATACCATTCCATACCATTCCGGATTTTGGCAAACCACAAGGTTGTTTTCCAATTTAATATAGTCCCCAGCCACTGTAAAAGTCTAATGTGAAAGTTCTGGGTTTTTATTTTGTTTTTGTTTTTGAAATGGGGACTTGCCAAGTTGCCCAAGCTAGGCTCAAATTCCCGAGCTCAAGTGATCCATCTCTACCTCCTTAGTAGCTGGGATTACAGGTGTGCCACTGTGCCCGGCTTCTCAGTTCTTAATCAGGTTGGAAATATATAATTGGAACTATATCTGAAGTAGAAAATAAAGGTCATTTAATACTTATTAACTATAGAAATACAAAAAATCTTGGCTGGGCTTGGTGACTCATGCCTATAATCCCAGCACTTTAGCAGGCCAAGACAAGAGGATCTGCTTGAGTCCAGGAGCTCAAGACCAACCTGGACAACATAGCGAGACTTCATCTCTTCTAAAAAAAAGAGAAAATTTTTTTTAAATGGCCACACGTGGTGGTGTATGCCTGTACTCTCAGCTACTGAGAGGCTGAGGTGGGAGGATTGCTTGAGCCCAGGAGTTCGAGCTTACTGTGAGCTATGATTGCATCACTGCACTCCATCCTGGGTGACAGAATAAGATCTTGTCTCGAGAAGGAAAAAAATTTTTTTTAAATCTCAACTGTGATGACACTGTGTACAGAGTTGCTTGAAGTAAAAATAGTAAATCTGGATCGAACCTTTGTGGAACATTTTCATAGACATGTGCACAAATCAAAGCCATCCTTTCCTGCATAGGACCATTTATCTTAGCCTACAAATGCAGATCCTTAAAATCACACATTAAGGGAACTAACAAAAAGATGTTTAGATTCACAGAAAGTTATTTAACTCGATTGTTCATTTTATAGATGAGAAAATTAAAGCCGTGGGGTTAATTTGCCCAAACAACATTCTACAACTCCCGAAGGACAGAAAACAGAAAAGTGAATCCCTTCAGAATAGAGCATTTTTATCTTAATTGAACCTGATTATTTCTGCTCCAGATCTGTCCAAAGAGATTTATCAAGGAGTGAATGCATTTTTAGAAAGCACTGTTAATATTCTCAAGTTTTACACTGTCAACCTAACAAAGAATCAAAGTTTTTACTATAAATGATGCTAGAAAGAGACAAGCTCTTGGCATCAAGTAACAACATAATACAACACATTAATTTGTGAATTTACTGTCGATACTAAATTGAGATTAATGTTATTAAATGCTATTTTTCAAACATGGGAAATTGTAGTTATCCAAACCTTTCTAAAACATGTATTCATTTCAAAAACCTTTTTTCCAGGGCAGAGGAATACTTTCTGGTCATACTGTTCAACTGAGTACCTTGCCTGTGACAAACACCCTTCTCTGTGCCCTTTGTGGTGACAGGTACCCTGGACTTTACATTCCATGGAAGAGAAGGAAGGATGCAGGCGCAATGCCCATTTCTTAGCTCTGAAACAGTCTGGAGAGCTGAGAGGTTAAAATCCTTACCCTCAAACAGCCTCATACCTATCATCAAACAGCCTTAATCCTTCCTCCCATTTTCCGCTGAGGTGGGGGCGGCATCAGAATCCGGTGCCGAGACCGACCGCCTTTAGTTGCGAACACTGACTTTCGTTAAGTGGAGCGGGAAAAACACAGCCATGTGGGATACTTACCTTCATTCCTACTTTCAAGGAAAACAAACGGTAGCTCTTAGGAAAGCGTTGCCTTTTACACTGTAGAAAATACACCAAACCACACGCCCATACCCGGACCTCCACACGTGGTACAAACTTTTTAGACTCTCACGTGTAGAATGAGACCGCAAGTGCTTCTGATTATAGGGGTTACACCTAGAAACATAGCTAGCGAGTCAAACAAGGTGGGACAGCAACGTTCGCCCCCCTCTCTCTCCGCTATGGCAACCTCAAGTCGGGTCTGGGCGGCTTCTCCTCCACCCCAAATGCAGCGGAGCCCGGGACGGGTGCGCCCCTCAGTGAGGCTCAAGGAGTCCTCCTTCCTTGACCTCCTGCTGCCGGCGCTCGTCGGGCCCGGGGTCTGGAGCTGTGGGTGGGACTGGAGGAGGCGTTCTTCCTAATGCTCTAGGAGAACGTCCCCCCACCGGACCCCAGAGGCCCCCTACCATGGGAGAAACAGGTGAGCAAGAGCAGATCGGCTGCAGGGGTTAACGCGGGCGCGCCACGCGGCGGCTCCAACCTCCGCGCCTTCCATCTCGGGCTCTCTGGCCAGGCCCAGGGGGCTGGATCTGAGTCCCGCCTGTACCCGCGGGGCTCAGCCCCTGCGACCGCCTGGACGCATCCCAGCTCCCCGACTCACCGGCTCCCTCGCTGCCCGCGGGCCCCGGCAGCAGCAGCAGACACACACCTGCGAAGAGAAAAGCGCGAGGGCTGGCTCCAGCCTCCACCCAGCGGGGCAAGGGGCCGGGGTCGTCAGGGGCGCGCACCCACCAAGGCTGAGAGCCGGGATCCAGGCTGCGGACATGGTGACTGAGAGGCTGCTTAGACCTGGGAGAGAGGGAGAATGCGGGCAAGGCCAGGGTGCGGGAGGCCCCGCGCGTCACCTCAGAGCCCCGCACCCCTCGGACCCCCGGGCGCGGCGCAGAGGAGAGAAGACACCGACGACCCGATGCTCCAGGCCAGTGCCCCTCTAGGTCTGGAGGAGGCGCCTGGGCGGCAAATCGAACCAAACCCAGGATCGGTGTGCAACCCCGCACCGCGGGGAGGCGGGGGCGCCAATACGAAGACAGACAGGCTAGGAGCGACAAAGAAACAGGGACAGAGGCGTCAGGGATCCCTCTCACCCGCGCCCGCCGCCCGGGGCTCCGCACCTGTGCGAGATCCACCCGGCTGCGCCCGAGTGCGGAAGCCACGGCCCCCGTGGCCGCTATAAAGGCTGGGCCGCGCGCATGAGCACTGTGCTGGGGGCGCGGGAGGGCGCGGGAGCCGATCCCCCGGGGCCGGGCGGCGACCTTCCAACTCCGCCTTCGCCCCCTGCCGGCCCCGGGGTGAGGCCGGCGCGGAGGCGCCTCCTCCAGCAGCGCGGGCTTGGCCACCTGGACGCGGCGCGGGTCCCTAGAGGGGGCACGAAGGTCCCCGCGCCAGCGTCTCAACGAGTGCTGAAGGCCGGCGGCTCCGACGGCGGGAGCAGCGGCCTTGCCAGCCCGGCTCTGCGGGGACCAGGGCTGCTGAGGCAGCGGTGGCAGCTACCCAGGCCCTCCCACCCCCGACTTCCCACCCACTACCCCCCCGAGGCCCGGGGCTTCTGATAGCTGCCAAATCCGCGCGGCCTGAGAACCGAACTTCCCAACTTGGTGCTCTGGTGGAAACGGAGTTCCTACTTCTGAAGTAAAACCACCCTAGGTTTGGTAAACGCATGCCGCGTTTTCGTTAGAAACTCTGTCAACTGACTGCTAGCTCGTTGGACCTTAGGGATTCGGCCTTGCGCCTTCGTTTCTGCTGGACTCCTACTTTCCCCAGTGGTTCCATTTGCGCTCCTGCCTAAAGTCACGCGTGTGAGGTGGCCCAGACCCCGGCAGCTGGTACTTTTGCTTCTTTTTCACCTCAGGAAGAATTTACGCCTGATTGCCTTTCCAAATTCCCAGACTTGGTGTTTTGTGACTACACAGAATCTCAGATTTGATAATGTGTTCTTCTCGCCGCACCATCCTGCTAACGTTTTCCAAATGGAAATGGAGATAGAGCAGAATTCTTGAGGAGTGTTAGTGACAGGCAACCTGCATGGCAGCCAAAGAACCAGACCCAGGCCTAGACGCTAACTTCCTGGTACAATATCAACTTTTTTCAAATAGCCTTATTTAGTTACAATTTACATGCCATAAAATCCATCCATTTTGAGTGTACAATTCAATGATGTTTAGTACATTTGCAGAGCTGTACAACCATCACCGCAAGCCAATTTCAGAACAGGTTCATCCTCCCCAAAAGGATCCCTCCTCGCCATTGTCAATCTCTTCTCCCACTCCTAGTCCTAGGCAAACACTAACCGATTTCCTGTCTCTATAGATTTGCCTTAGCGGTCGTTTCTTATAGATGGAATTATACTTTGTGGGGCTTCCTTCTCTGCACAGAATGTTTTTGAGGTTCATCCGTGAGGCATTGTAGAAGAGTACTTCCTTTCTTTTTATTGTTGAAAAGTATTCCCATGCCATTTTATACTGAGAAACAAATACACCACCATCACCTGGAAGTCAGCTAGTGTAGTAGTCTTAATTACAACTCTCTTTCTGATTGGAATGACTTAGTATTTCTATCAGGCAACTAAGGAGTGTTGATTTCATTCCCTTTACTACCTGAATGTCTTTTGGAGGGAAAGAGACCAAATAACATTTGAGGGCTGGGAGGTTTTTTGATGTTTATTTTCATGGCTGCTTTCAAGATTTACTCCCTTCCCTGGTAGAGAGAATTACCCTTTTGTTAGCAATCCAGTCATCTAGCCACTGCCCCTGATATTTTCCGTGGGAGAAATTTCAAGCCTCAGGACAATTAAAGCTGTCTTTTTCATTATTGTTTATTGAGTGTCCTCAATCAGGGTTGGATAACCTCCCCTAATTAGGCTGCACAAATTGTCATGATGCTATATAATTAGGAAGAGTCCGTACACTGGAAAAAAACCTGCCACTTCACAGCTCAGCAGGCAGGTCCCAAATGGCCAAAGGGGCACATGCTATTCAGAGCCCCCACAAGGCACAGGCACCCTCCTGTGATGTAATTTCACTGAGTGATTAGGCAGAGTCAAAACTATGCAGCTATTTCCATGACAGACCCTGAGTCTGTAACCATTAAAAATAAAGGAAATACCTCACTGAGTTTCATGATTGTTTACCCAGATTCATCTTAATTATTTTATTTTGAAACATTTAAGAGAAGTTACTCTGTCTTTATTATTTTTTTTTCTTTTTGGTAAGGCCAACCAAGGAGAGTGAAAGAGTGGGGTTTAGACTCTCATTCTTAACTAGTTTGTAGTTCATGCTCACCATAAGTATATTAAAGACAAATATCTGAATTTAAGAGGTAATTGACTCTTTTGGAAATATCTGAAGAGAGTCAAATCTAGGTATATTTGACTTAAAAAGACAAAATGCTAAAATGACAGAGTTTTGTATTCAATTGGGTGATATTGTAGGGTAATTATACTCCTAGGATGCCTGGTTAATCCTGCTTTATTATTTTTTAAAATATTTTATTTTATTTTATTTTATTTGAGATGGAGTTTCGCTCTTGTCTCCCAGGCTGGGGTGCAATGGCGCTATCTTGGCTCACTCCTACCTCTGTCTCCCAGGTTCAAGCAATTCTTGTTCCTCAGCATCTTGAGTAGCTGGGACTACAGGTGTGTGCCACCACACCCGGCTAATTTTGTATTTTTAGTAGAGATGGGTTTCACTATGTTGGCAAGGCTGGTCTCGAACTCCTGACCTCAGGTGATCCACCTGCCTTGGCCTCCCAAAGTGCTGGGACTACAGGCGTGAGGCCTGGCCTCGTTATTTTTTAATTTATTTTAATCTTATTATATTTTTATTTTTATTTTTTTTTAGAGACTTATTCTCACTCTGTCATCCAGGCTGGAGTGTAGTGGCACAATCAACGCTCACTGCAGCCTCAAACTCCTGTGCTCAAGAGATCCTCCCACCTCACCCTCCTGAGTAGCGGGACTACAGGTGCACACCACTATGCCTGGCTCATTTTTAAATTTTGTGTAGAGAAATAGTCTCACTATTTGTCCAGGCTGGTCTCAAACTCCTCACCTCATGTGATCCTCCCACCTGGGCCTCCCCAAATGTGGGGATTATAGGCATGAGCCACTGTGCCTGATTTTATCCTGCTTTAATGGGAAGTATTTGATATTCAAAATTTAGACAAACTCCCTGTAGAGCAGTGGATTCCTGTCTGGGCTGCACATTGGAACTACCTGGAGAGCTTTAAAAATACTCATGCCTGGGTCCCACCCCAGAGATTTTCATATAATTGGTCGGGGCTGGGGCCAGGCATTAGAATTTTTAAAAGCTCTCCAGGTGATTCTGATGTGCAGTCCAGGGTGCTCAGTGGTAGAGGTTAAGCTAATCCTTCTAATATTTCATTCTTCTTTCATTATCTTTTCATGAAAATCCACCTTTAATATGCCTACTGTATTCCCCTGATAAAAATAATGGAAGCATTTTCTGTCCTGTGGTTATTTAAAAATCCCTAACAAAAAGATTGAAAACTCAATTTCAAAAGTAATTTT